TAACCTGAGCCACCATTTGCAACTTGGCCTTGAATTTTTTTTTCTGTGCCTTAGTTTGTCTACCTGTCCAATGGGTATGATGAGGCTGGGTGTCCGGAGGTAATTCTGCTTCGTGTAAACCAGCCTGGTTCCCCCAACGGAAGTTCCCATGCCAGCTTCATAAGTGACAGGGGAAAAGTAAGAATCCCTCGGGAGTGGGGACTGCTGTTTCCTGTAAAGGGCTGCATGGTAATTATTCTAGTCTGGGTGGATGGCACCTCTCTGACCACCCTCTGGTACTGTATCAAGATAGGCATAGGTAAGGGATAGGTGCACACCAACGAGATTTCACCAGCTACCCTGACAGTTCAATCTCATGCTGTGTCTCACACCATGGGAACATTCTTGTTTGAATGTTGGTCGCTTTAGAATGTAAATATCATTCCTGGGGGGGGGGGCAAGGAGGCCCTGGTGCTCCATACTTGCCAGCTACCCGCCTCTGACCCCCTAAACCAATCGAGGGGCCCCTACCATTGCCCCCCACTTTGCAGATGAGAAAACTGAGGCAGAAATAGGTTTAAATGTGATGCTACACAGCTGGGGAGGCATGAGGGTGGTCTCTGGGGATGGCTCTGTATCCCCTTTCAGGATCGAGAGCCAAGGATGCGGACAACCAGCGTCTGACTCAGGCTGGGACAACCTCCGCTGTCCCTGTCACCGTGATCCCTGCTCTAGGCCATGGTTCCCACACTATGGTGGCGGCAGCGGCAGCGCGGGAAGCGTGCCCAGCCCCTCGGCATTAGTGCCGGGGCCTGCTTCTGAATGAATGAGGGCGGCGGTGGGGGGCATGAGGAGGGTAGCTCCCAAAAGACCATCTGGCTCCGTGTTATAATAGAGCAATAAAGGGCTCGTCTGCTTTTCAGGGGTTGGGAAGGGGCTGCTCTCTGACACCACAGAGTTTTTAAGCAGCTTGGGACTGCGACCCCGGCACTACCCTGGCCCACTGGGGGCTGGTGGACAGAGCGTGGCCACGTGGGCTGGATCGACCTAATCCCTTCGCTGCCTTGAGAGCATCCCCGCCCCCAGTTTTCCCACCACCCTCCTCTGTTGTCCTGAGCCCTCCCCACCACCCCACCCCGCCCTTCCCCATCTAAGGCGGCTTGAAGGCTTGAAGCAGACGCAACCTGGCAACCTGCGTCTCAAAGCTCTGGGACGTGGAGCCCAACCCACTGAGGGCTGTAGCACGGGGAAGTTCCAGGACCCTCAGGAGGATGGCCCCCACCTCACAACCACCCAAATGCCTCTCAAACAGAGCTCCCACCCAGTGGGGCTGTGGGACCGTGAAACATACCTCGCCAGACCTGGAGTCTCCGGCCCCGGAGGGAAGAGAGGGCTAGGGTGTGGACTTGTGTCCTCACTGTGTCTCCCAGTCCCAGGCCCCACCTCAATCAGATGAGAAAGGAGGTTTTGGAGATGGGTTTTCTCCAGGTCCGCCACTATCACCAGAGCCCTGGGTGGGGTGGGGGCGGGGCCCTTGGTAAGCAAAAGAAGAGATTGGGGCAGAGGGAGGTGCAAAGTAGAGGGGACACCCATGAGCATCCTTTAGAAGAGCCTGAGGTCAGGTTGACATGACAGCAAGAGGTGGGTAGGGAGGCGTTGTCCCCTGATTTGGTGGCTCTGGCTTAGTACTATGTACAGAGCAGATGCCCAGGCACCTGTTGTTTGAGCACAGGTGGCAGGCAGGCCTGGCTGCAGATGCCCCTTCTGGGCTGGAGCCCAGCAGAGGTACATCTCAGCAAGTCCCTCTTTGTGTGTGTGTGGGGGGGGCAGTCTCCTTACAACCTGGAGTCAATTCCTCAAGACCCAGGTAAGCCTTGGCCTATAAGCCCATCTTATAGACAGGTAAACCGAGTCTCTAGAAAGATGATGTGTTCACATGTGTGAGAAAGTCAAGGGCAGAGCCAGGCCTTGATGTGTCAGCCCTTGTCAGTCCATCCAGCCTGCTCTTTGGAAGTCCCCTGAAATAATCCTGCTGTGGAGAAGGCTGGCAGAGTCAGTCTGTAAGGAAAGATTGGTGCAGACCCAGTGAACTATGAACCTCAGGATCAGACTGTGGAGCCTAACCTGACAAGCAGTACATGTATCAGACACTCTCGTCCACTGGAACAGGGTGGAGCTGCCTGTGGCTCTCAGGGCCCTGCAAGTTCGAGGCAGGCATGGAAAGAAGTAGACACCGCAGGAAAGTAATTTCAGTAGCTGTCTGAGATCCACACTGAAGAACATCTAGTAGAGAGGCTGCCAGACAGAAACAGGGGGGCTGGCCCAGTGGGGGCTCCAGAAGTCACCCAGTCCCCAACCCTCAGGAAGGTTTGATCTCCTCCTCTGTGAGGTAGGTCTGAAGCTAACAAACCTTAGACCACAGAGCCGCTGCTGCACGTGCCTAACCCTTCCCTGTCCTCTGCATTCAGGAGCCTCCCAAGCTGCTGACTTGACCTTGGCTGGTGTCAAGAGGGTGTGCCCACTGTCCACTCGGGATAAGGTTGTTCCCACCCACTCTCTCATAGAGAAGACCAGTCTATGTCAGAGGATGGTCCACCTGTGCCTAGTAAAGTCCATCCTCTCCCAAGTCACCCTCTGGGGCTGGGGCAGCAGCACCTCAGGCAATCTAAGGGACTGACCCATAGGCAAATTGCTTCCTCCTGAGAGCCCCAGCTTTCTCGACTGCAATAGAGGTGTACACTTTCCTGCTTCTGAGGGTTCCTGAGGGTCTGACCCAGCCTCGTGTCATAGGACAGAGGGCGGTGGTGGCCACACAGCTCCCCCTCTATCACAGCACCCAGGTATCTATTCCAAGGAAGGGCAGTAGAGAGAAATGCTTGGCTGACCGGGGCAGTCTGTGAGATGAGAGTGGCAGGACCAGGCTGAGGACAGTGGCCCTGAGGACAACTAGACATGACACATGTTTATGACCACACAGGCATGGGCATTTGTGCAT